GGATCTGAGGATTCAGGAATGACGGACGATTAACAGCCAGGAGGTGGCAGTAATGCAACAGTTTTGGATGCAAGCTGCCGTTAAACTTGACTGAAGAAGAAGAAGAACTGTGAGGTTTCGTGTCTCGCGCGCTTGTGGGTCTTCCTGTTGGATTGTAAAATGGCGCATTGTTGTCGCCGCCGTACCGAGTATATTTGATAAAGATTATATTTTTCATTTTAATTTTTAAAACGCTTGCGCAGATCATAATGTAATTTGTGCACAGAGCAGCAGTAGATTGACCAGAGGGGTTCATTCATTTCGTGCACACTGCGTCTTTGCAACAGCTTATCGGGTAAACATTGGTTGTTAGCATTAGCTAACTGCTAAGCTAATATTCGCTGCAGACCAGCTAAACAAACATAACGAGATGGGTTATTTAAAACTGATAGAGATCGAAAATTTCAAGTCGTATAAAGGAAGGCAGATTATCGGACCTTTTCACAAGTTTACTGCAATCATCGGACCCAATGGATCTGGTATGTAATGACAGCTAACATAAACTCGAAGCTAATGCGAAATGCAAACTGCTAGCTGTGCCTAACGGTAAACAGAGCTCCACAGCCCATAACTCTCAGTCTGTGCATAGCTGAACTGTACGGAGGTTCAGCTGTTGGTAGTGTGATGTATCGTATTGTTTCATATTCATATTTGCCACTAGAGTATTTATTTAAATTTTATTTCGGTGTATTAATGGTTGTCAGTTTGGAAAAGAACCGAACTGCATTTTAATTAAAGTAATTACTTTAGACTGCTTAAGCACTTATGTCGTATAGGCACTTAATATATTTGTAAACATTGGGGTTGGACCTACCTTTACACTAGAGAAAGACGAAGTCTTTCAACGGTCTTTTCTCGTAATACAGTGCAATGCATCATCAAAATTATCTGGCCAATACAACGTGTAAAAACTGCACTAATAGCCAATAAGATGCATTTTATTGCAGAACTGTTGTTTTGCACCAGACTGTACAAATAAAAGGTGAACTTTCCTATAATATTTACAGGACATGCATATTATCCAAATGTTGTCTCCCCATTCCATAGTGTACAACTAGAATAAATCAAAAATAAAATTAAATAAAACAGAGATATAAGAATATGAGATGGGATGTAAAAATTAATGTTAGATAACAAAGTATGTTTTACATAAGGGATATTAAAGCCTATATACAGTTGTTGTTGTTTATGTATAGAAGCAAGCAGCAACATGGTCTTAACATGTGTGTTTTAATATAAAAAGGTCCCAAAGTTTACTAAGATTTCAATGTCATCATAATGTTTGTAGGAAAGTCCAACCTTATGGATGCCATCAGCTTCGTGTTGGCAGAGAAGACAAGTAACCTGCGTGTGAAGACTCTGAAGGATCTAATCCATGGAGC